CTTGCTCCACCGCTCCAGTGATTGACAAATGCTTGTATCTTGCTCCACCGCTCTAGTGATTGACAAATGCTTGTATCTTGCTCCACCGCTCCAGTCATTCGGGTTGCGATGAAGGGTTTATGAATAATTGTAGAACCTACTAACACCGACATTTTGGATGAATGTATATTTGAATCTAAATTAGATACAAATGTAGTAGCATTTGTTACATCTTTAAGGAATTTGATATTTCAAAATTGAATAATCTAAATGAGCTTTTTACATCACGCTGTATTGCACAGATAGACAACTAGTCAATATATTATGTATTTAAGTATTATAAGATTGTATATTGTATATCATGTGTATGTATTAAAATATTACCTTAATCTCGTCTATGTATTAAAAAATTTATAATTATAATATATATACACACACATACACATATAATATGTTAATATACACTAAAATTTTAACCTGTATATTAAATGAAAGTGTTTAAAATTGTTCGTAAACGCTTACTGGATAAGCGTTGGGTAAACATCTTGTACTTTACAGAGTAAAATAGTTTATTAAAATGGTATAATATGCAACAATTTAGCCGGTAAATACTTACCAGGTAAGAGTTTTCATTCTTACTGAATCATACTCTTCATCGTTCTTACTGGATAAGATTCTTTATCATTATTATATTCATTCGATAAGTTAAATGACTCGATAAACACTTACCCCATAACGTATAATAATACGTCCTCAGATAAAATTCTTATGATTTACTTAAATATTACCATTGCCTTTATCCTTTATTCATTATTTTTATTCGAAACAGTATAAAAGAGAAGGTAATAATAATATTTGAGTAAGCCCAAAATACAAGCCCAGCTTATTTGAAGCTCCACAGTCCACCCCCAATTCCATGGCATGGCAATGCTGTTGCTGAATGGCATCACCATTTCAATCACTCCCTTGGATTCAATTTCTGTATGCACCTTTGAGCTCATAACCCACAAAAAAAGGCACAAATGGCTTCGTCTTCAAAGTTCCTGAGAAGGGTATCAACATCCCTCAATTCCATACACAATTCGCGCTTGTTGTCTTCTTCTTCTTCTTCAAATTCTAGAATTCCTCTTCAACAATTTAAGTTTGACCGTCCTCCTTGTTCTTCCTCCCTTCTGTACAACGATAAGCATAGTCGTGTTTGTAGTAGAGATTTTTGCTCTCGGACTTCTAATGTTGACGAAGTTCTTTCTCAAGGACCTGCTGCCGTTGATTACAGGTTCGAATTGTGATCATTCGATCTTTCAGTTTTTGTGAATTTCCTGTAATAATAGTTTTGGTGGTGCGATTTTGAAACTGTCTATATTATATAATCTTGGTTCTGCTTTAAAATATATACAAATTATGCTTTGTCATGTACTGTATCTAGGTTTTGCTTGTGTAAACATCTCCTCCATAAACAAGTTACAGTGGTTCGAAATCAGACCTTGACCTAGTCCAACGCAAAATTGTGTACTTCAACCTTAACGTATTACTTGCGTTCTTCCTCATCGACCTTGATTAGTTTTTCAACGTAAAAAATGTTGTGAATTTAGAGCTTTTAGGAAATCACTATAACGACATTGAGCCCTGTACCATGGACCTCAATTTGAATAAATGGTAGTGTTAAATTAGGAAGAAAATCATAGTATCAATTGAAAATTGAAAGTTCTAGGGTTGACATAAAAAATATAAATCTATATATATATATCTCTCTCTCTTTTAGTTTATTATATTTTACAGTATCATTTAAAATTTCTTAATGTAATTGTACTTCTAGTTTTTGAAAACCCTAGAATCAATGTCAAAATTTGAAGTTGAAATGCATTTCTTCAACATCAAACATTCAAAGGGTCAAATGGTCAATGGCCTAAGTGGCACCTGGGTTACAGTTAAATCCCAACCTCTTTGGGGGAAGGGTTCGAGCTTCACCAAAGGTGAAGAGTGTGTGTGAGTTTTGCTGTATATAAATATTATATAGTTTTAATAGTTCATATATACTTCAAAATAAAAAAGCATCAAACTTCCGAATGCATGTCATTTCTTTTCGGAGTGGAGGAAGTATACTAGAAAAAGTAGTATTTAGCTCAAGCAACTATTACGTCATAAACTGTTGGTTTGAATTTACTTTTCTGAGCATCTGTTTAATAGGGAAGGTTGTCTCTCGTGCCGTGCCTTGTCTGTTCTTATGTGAAGAACATAACCGAAGATTCATAGACTATAACTCTTGTAGCAAGGTCATTTATGTTCTTTTTTTAATGCAAAGTGAAATATATATGTATAAAAGGAAGTTGGCGCATATAACAAATTTGAAATGTAATATTTATGCCATCAGAGAGATCAAAGTTGAGAAATAGTTGGTTGGTTTTCCATTTTCACATGAATAGCGAGTTGTATGGTAGATGCTAGAATGTGGACACCTCTCTTTGGTGTATATATCTTATCTGAGTGGGACGTATTTTGTTTTGAAAACATGGGTGATTTGTAATTAAATAAAAGAATTCATGTCCAGCTTGATCACATAGACGGATGAATCAACTACTGTTTTGGTTATGGAAGTCAATTGGTGTTGGTGAGTTGATAACGGTCTTTTGAACATTCATCCTTTCAATTTGTGAAGGGTGTAATAGGTTCTAGACTTGTGTCCTTTGAGCTATCATTTGTTTCGTAATGGGAACGAAATAAAATTACTAATAGTTTAATGTGCATACAGTGCTTTGCTACAGGAGGATGAATTTCACAAACTGGCCGATGCAACAATTCATGATTTGTTAGAGAAGATGGAGGTAATCAATCATCTTGGTGTGAAATGATTAAAGTTTTTAATTTCTGTTACTTATGGATACCGTAATATGTAGTTATTTAGGTTGGTGGTTTGAATGAATAGTGTTACTACCTTCATTCTTGAAGTTTCTTGTCTTTCATGGTTACAACTTACAAGCCTTATGATCCAGCATGATAAACCAAGGACAATTTAAGTCATCAATTGAGTTGATTGCTAGATGTCTCCAAAAAGGCCTTGTTCCACCATTTCACATTTTGCCCAGAGCTATACAAGATTTGGATATTTTGACCTGTGTCTCTCCTATGGTCGCCATCCAGGTGATAATAGTCTACCCTGTCATCCTCATGCTGGATATGGAGCCTCGGTTATGCTGTACAATATATCGCTCCACAGTTGTTAGAACTGGCTATTTATGATGTTGGCCTTCTTTGTACGTACTGCAGGATTTACAATATAAAATACTAATCCTAGCAGCAGCCCTAGATAGGAAAACTGCTAAATCATGTATCATGTCTCCATTTTTCTTGTTTCTTCTGCAACAAATGTGTGTGATGTTTGAGATTCTACACTATAAGGCCATGAATAAGGACCTGTTGGCATGTAATTAGCTTGCCCCTGCAATTACGTCTCACCTAGTAAATAAAAGACCCCAGATTACATATCTGCAGTTTAATTCAGAGTTATAAGAATCCAAATTTGCTAGCTCAATTGAGAGGTAGTTTCTTCACATTGCAACCATCTTTTCTATCTTGTTTCTTACTCATTCATACAAAGAATATCCGACTTTTACTCCTAAGTAGCACATATGTTGATGCTTGCTAGATTGTTGCATTCTGGAAAGTGCAATTTAATCTTGTTTCTTGTTGGTTGATAGGAATATGGCGATTCTGTGGACATTGATGGTTTTGACATAGACTACGGGGTTAGATCCTATTTCCATGTCACATTGCTTGTTTTCTTGAAGGTGTTGATTAGTTTTGATAAATTCATTTTCGATTTTACAGAACCAAGTATTAACCGTGAAGTTTGGTAGCTTTGGAACCTATGTCTTAAACAAACAGACACCCAACAGACAGATTTGGATGTCTTCACCTGTGAGGTACCAACTCCCTACAAGAAACTTCTGATTTGGCATTGTTATCTTAGCTTCTAAGTAAGGATCTATTGTGTATATGATATATTTCTTGATATTCATGCATGTTATTTTAATATTATCTGAACTTCTATTATAGATAAGGTTTTTAACCGTAAATAACAGTCCTTACATTCAAGTTTATTTTCTACACAAATGTTAGACTTTGATTGTCTTTTAACTAGTTATATATGCATGAATTTCATATTTCTCTAATAATTATAAATTGATTTAACTTAAGCAGTAAACATGAGGTCTTCCATTTACGAAATGAAATGCCAACCTAATGAAATATAACTTTAATAAGTTACTAAATACTGTAAATGCAAGTAAGAGTTGCATTAGAGGATAAAATAAAATAAATAAAAAGTGATGTAAATATTAGTTTCGATCATCATCTGTAAATAGTTGGTAAATTATAAAGCCAATTGAACATGTTTTAGGAATAATGAAAAGCAAATTGGCTATAAAATCTTAGAGAAGTTGACACTCAAATCAAATTTAGTTTACAAATTAAAAATTGGGGACATTCAAGAAAATCCTAAGAAACAGGAAATCTTAACAAACTACTATGAGAAGGTAAGGATTTCATGTTTGACAAATGTAAGCCACCAAAACGTATATTATAGTTGTTAAGGAATGGTTCGTTCTTAACGAAGGTAGACAAGTAATTTGGTTGGTCGATATGCTATGCAAACTCCACACCAAGGATGTAAATAGATCCATTTTTGTATATTCAAATTGCATATTCATGGTTGTTTTCTGGATTCTGATCAATATTTGCCATCAGTTTATAGTTGTTAACTGATAAACTAGTTATGTTTGGTACAAACTAGCTGATAAGCTAGATGACAATGTAAAGACCTAAAAGGATCATAATTGGAAAAAGAAAGTGGAAAAAACCCTTCAAGTAGCATTTCAAATTTCAATAAGCTAGCTACGGTTCAAAAAATATGAGAGTTTAACATGGCATTAGAAGATATTATGAAAGGAATTTGGAGCAACTTTCTGCACACTTTGTTAATCCACCTTCGACATCTATTTATACAAGGAAATACACCTAACCACAGTTACTTATTAACTAACCATCTAACACTGGTTAACTACCAACAGAAACAATTACCAACTGACTGACCTCCAACAGAAAGCAACTAATACTTCTACGTAAATAGACGATATTGCCCCCTTCATCTATTTAACTGTAATTTGGCGCTCTCTTCTTGTTTGATATCGAAACATCACAGTCTGTTCTGTTTTGCATGGCTTTATTATATGATTTCTGTGTGCAGTGGTCCTTCAAGATTTGACTGGGATCAAAGTGCAGAAGCTTGGATATACAGGCGGACAAAGGCTAAACTTTTAGAAACACTCGAAACGGAGGTGCAACAACTCTGTGGTGAGCCCATTACACTTTCTAAAAGAGCAGATTAACCCGAAATCTTAGCTAGGGTTACGGTTTGCGTTTCGCAACCATTTGAGTATTTACTTGTGTTCTGCACAATAAAAAGTGTACATTTTTATGGATTTGTAGACTTCATATATGGAAAAGAAACAATTTTCTGTGTTTAATTTTAAAAAGCACACTTGTTCAAACATTATGTAGAAATTAGTACACATACATAATCTTTTATATGTATTTGAGAAAGAGAGTTAAGGTGAGAAGCGTGAGAAAGGATCTGGACTTTTGATTACCTTTAATCTCAAACCAATCCATGAATCGCGCTTGATACGAAGATTGGTTCGGTGGATCTTATCCTAATGTGCATCTAGGGGTATCTTGCCCATTGGATTTAGATTCTGCTAAAAAAGCAGCAATTCCGTTTCAAATGGGAGATTTTTTCTTACGCTTCTTAGATTAACTCTTCATCTTATACAATTCTTCACCTTATATTATATATATGGTTGAGTTTAGGTGAAAATAGAAGTTATGGTGAGAAGGGTAAGAAGATGTAACACAGGGCAATTTGTAATAAAGTAAAAGGGATTTAATTAAAGGGTTTAATAAATCAATTTAAACTTTTTCAATTTTCAAAATACGTTTATATAAATGAGATCTTCAACCATTTATTAAGTCAATAAATAATTTGGAGTACAATAGTCGTTAAAAAAACTGGGATTAACTTTGTCACTTTAATTTAATCTATAGACAAATGTAGCAAAGTAAAAAGTAGAGGGTTGGTTTCATCAATATGGCAAACTTAATGAAAGGAAATCAAATGGTTTTTGTAACCTCCACAATCAAAAACATACACACATAATGAGGGATCAAATGACAACAAAGTTAAAAAGTGAAAAACAAAAATGGTCAAATCATATGTGATTTTGTCAAGAAACCACATGCGATGATGAAATACGGTCAACGCAAGAGTAAGCGGACGATTTGACATGTGACATCAAGTCAAAGCCAAAGTTACATAAATCAACTTTAATATAAAGTCACATTGAATTGATCATTTTCATATTATTTACATACATAAACATCGTACTTTCAATTAGGGGTGTTCAAAACCCCGACCAACCTGATCAACCGAACCCAACGCAACGCGAAATAATCCAACCCGAAACAACCCAATGTCTAATCGAGTTGTAAAATTGTCAAACCGTAGGGCATTGAGTTGATATTGGGTTACTATTATTTGAACTCAACCCAACCCGATGAACCCGATATTCTTTTATTTCTTGGATTTAATATGATTGTTGAATTTCTATTAATATATACATTAGACAATTACACTATCATGTATGTTTTTCATATACACATATTTTCAATCTATTCATATCTCTATATAACTCATTCAGTAACTGTGAACATATACATGTAAATTGAGAAAATTAACTGAATGTGATATACGTAAGAAATATTAATAAGCTGTATCAAATTGTTGATGATGCAAAAGAAATTATGAGTAGAGAAATAACATATTCAAGATTAGAAGAATATTTTAATATACCAAAATATCAACCCGACCAACCCGTACGGGTTGGGTTGCACTTTGGTTTGGGTTGGGTTGGATTAAGATTTTTTCAAACAGCAAGCATTAGGTTGGATTGTTTAAATGTGCTCAACCCGATCAACTCAACCCATGAACACCCCTACTTCCGATATTACTCATCTAAATGCAAGTTCACCAATCATATGTTTGTTGATAAAATATTTACGTGATCAATCATCCACACCAACACCATCCAAGCGTTTTTCTTCTTAAATCAAAATTGATTACACTTTTTCTTATTTGTTACAAAATACCAGATTACATGATAGCTCCTAATACAATTGGACGGTTGAGATTAACCTTTATATATTTTTTGATCTTTTTATTTCATTAAAATGTTATATTCCTCATGATCAATCAAAATTAAGATAGAGTGATAAATCAAAATACTATAAGAAACGTAAGAACATTGTAATAAAATATTAATAAACGTTAACATATATTGACATGTTAATTTATGAAAACTTTCGCTAACAAAGTGATTTTTATGAAACTTTATTTGAAAAGATGGTGAGTGCAGTGACTTATTCATATATTTATGCAACCCATATATTAAAAGATGATCAATAAGTGACGAATTCACATGTATACATATTCTAAAAAGGGAAAATGATGAAAATAAGCACTTTATACAACCCTTTTACACAAAATAATCAGTTTTTAGGGGTTTTACAAAACTAGCCATATGGATCTCCCCCGGGGGCGATCCGGCATTTTTCTTAGAAATTTTTTTTAAACTTTTTTTTTCCACTTGGGGCGAGCCACGTCATCGGATCGCCCCCGGGGGCGATCTAGGTTTTTTTTTAAATTTTTTTTTCTTTTTTTTGTAATACCAATTTTACTATAAATATCAACCTCCTATTTCATAATTTTTAACACATTCCCTTGCATTTCTCTTCTCATATATTTAACTTTCACAACCTTTAACCCATTAAACACAATTAACCATCACAAAACATGAAATCACATCAAAGTGATGATGTTTGTGTGTATATTCGAAGTGGCGGTTAAAGCCCGTACACATATATACATTAAAAATACGTACGTAAAACGTACGTGAATATACGTAAATATGCGTATGTATTAAAACCCGTACGCATATCCACGTTAAAATACGAATTTTCAATTTTTGTACCCTTTATATCGTTTTTTTTACGTAATGCATCTATATATATATATATATATATATATGTTACCGCAATTTATATCGTTTTTTTACGTTATGCATCTCTATATATATACGTTACCGCAATTTATATCCTTTTTTTTTACGTTATGCATCTCTATATATATATACGTTACCGCAATTTATATCGCTTTTTTTACGTTATGCATCTCTCTCTCTATATATATATATATATATATATATATATATATATACGTTACCGCAATTTATATCGTTTTTTACGTAAATGTAAGTAGGTATATATATACGTATATACATACGTACACATATATATATATATATATATATGTACATACATACGTGAAGATACGTAAATATGCGAATTGAAACTTCATATTTTATACGTATATATGCGTACGGGTTTTAACCCGTACACATATATATGTATAAAATACGAAGTTTCAATTTTTGTATCGTTTATATCACTTTTTTTTACGTAATGCATCTCTATATATATAAATGTTACCGCCACTTCGAAGATACATACAAACATCATCACTTTGACGTGATTTCATGTTTTGTGATGGTTTATTGTGTTTAATGGGTTAAGGGTTGTGAGAGTATAATATATGAGAAGAGAAATGAAAAGGAATGTGTGAAAAATTATGAAATAGAAGATTGGTATTTATAGTGAAATTGGTATTACAAAAAAAAAAGAAAAAAAAAGTCTGGATCGCCCCCGGGGGTGATCCAATGATGTGGCTCGCCCCAAGTGGAAAAAAAAGAAATTTTAATTTTTTTTTCTAAGAAATAGGCCGGATCCCCC